CTCTGTCATAGAATGAAATGAATTTTCCATCAAATGAACTACAGAATCTAGCTAATAAATACTGGTAATAATCTAGAGAATATTCTAAAGAATTAGTCCTGAGATATTCAGATATTGGACTGAATATAAGGCCAGACAGTAAATTATATGAGGGCACTCGTTCATGACTTAATTTTCAACATTCTGGCAAGACCACCTGGAGTGGATCCTAATAAGCTACTGAACAGCTCCTTGAAGTTTGCAAATGATGTTGGCCTAAGATAAATGAGTCGGCTCTGCCAGAACTACCTTGGCAAATATGGAAGAAGAGATCCAAGGTCTTACAGCAGTGGGAATATTAAAATGTATTTGTTTTGAAAATCCAGAAAACCTACCCACTGATTATGTATCCCTAGAAGAGCCTAGAAAATATTGCCTTTCCCAAACAATAAGGAATATTTCAGAAAGAGGAATTCTAGCATAAATGGGAAGCTCAGTGGTGGCTGTTCTGCATAGTCCAGATTTGAAATGATAAGAGACGTCGCTGTGTTTTGATGGGTATGGCCCTCTATGTGGTTAAAGGTCACGATGTGTTACTGCTGTTAAATAATGTTGTTAGATGTTTGGTGCTCTGTTCCAGATAGCTAGGACCTGAAGCTAGAAATATGAATGAAACCTCTCATTAGTACTTTAAATAATCCACTCAATAGGGGCCAGCCAGTGATGTGGTGGTTAAGGTACTGGACATGGCTGACAACAGTTCAAGTCCTGGACCCAGCAGCTTGAAAATTACACTGAGTGCTGGTGTTTGCATACCTAAAATCCCAAGAGGAGAATGGAAGAGAAGAGACTACATCCTAGCAATCCCCTCCAGGGAGGAGGGTGATTCTTGTGTTCCCTCTTTCTATCTCTGGCAACACACCTTATTGCAAAAACCTAAAAAAAAAAAAAAAATCCACTTAAGAAACAAGTTTCTCTTGTCAAAAATTCAGATTCTGCAGCATTAGAGGTCCTTTTACTTCCACCAGGGGACATAGTAAGGGTTCCACAAAATCTTGGTTCCTCATTTCTATAGATCAGAGGTCTGAGAAGATTATTGATAAACAAGCAAGGATAGAGAAAGTAAATAGTTTGTCCTACCAACCTTCCTGTAAGTGTTCTCTTTCTCTCTTTTTAGAATTATGACCAGCAACGTTCTTGATATTTCATCCTGATTGTCAAGTGGAAAAAGAATTACTAGTAAATAATGGAGCAGGGATGAGTATGTCTGGAACTCATAGGATTCACTGGGATGCCTCATGGTGTTTTAATACCCATTGACAACCAAAAGGACAGTTGCAGGAATAGCATCTTGACAAGGATAAGAAACCAAGGATGCATACTAGGTTACTGTTCCATGCAATGCGCCTAGACTAGAAGTGGTCTGGTTAAAAA